GTTGTCATAACAATGTGTACAAATTTTAAAATTATTTTGAAGAAAAAAGATTTTTATTTTGAAATGGACTTGTTTAATAAAATTGTATATGCTTTTAGAGACATTCACATATTGTAGTCGATACAGTAGGATTGAAAGTATCCTGAGCTTTACTCGGGGTAGGATCGCCTACGTTAGTAAACAGACTATATCCAGTACATTGTTTAAGTATAGTAGGATGTTCTCTGAATTATGGTCTTAATAAATGTTGGAAAACAGCTCTAACGACTTCGAATGGCTGCCAACAGGTGGTGAAAATGCTGGTGGCAGTCGTGGTGCTGTTTGCCATTTGTTGGGCCCCGATGCTAATTGACAATGTGCTGACTGCTTATGGCTACCTGCCGCGCGTCAAGAGTGGGGTGCACAAGCATCTCAATACCGCGTTTCAGTTGATGGCTTATTTTAACAGGTATGCCTCGGATTCAACTTGAAGATTAAGCGCTGGGGAGTCATTAATTTAAAACTGACTCACACCTACGATGATCTCGTCTTTTACGTGATCAACGCGAAGGTTATTGCCTCCGGGGAGTCGTTCGCGGGATTGTGTTACAAGTAGAAAAATCAGCTTACTGGCCAGCCGCAAGTTTTGTTCCACCAGACAGATCGCATAGAATCTGTACACGATTGCGTCATAAACTCTAAAGAGGAACATAAAATATTGATTTATTTCTTAATTAAATATTCACATTCAGACGAGCAAAATGAGAATTGTTACACAATTTATAGAAACACATTCATTTTTATTTATCAATAAATATTTTTTATATGTATTTTTATCGTGAAGTTTTCGCTTCTGTTTTTTGACATAAAAATATACAATAACGTTTAAAAATTAAAAATCTACTGCAAAAATCACAAATTGAAAATGGTTTTATTTAAATTTGATTAATATTCTCTAAAAGAATCAGTTATTTTGCATTTTTTCAGTTTTGGTTTGAAATTTTATTAAATAAAATATTAATAAATAAAAATTATTAAATATATGTAAGTATCGGTAAGAATTTTACTATTGCCAAAAACAACAAAATGTATGCAGAAAATGGGAAACTGTTTCAAAGTTAAAAATTAAATAGAAGGCAGTATCATTTATCACAATTCGCAAAATGGTCGTCGAATGCAATAAAGCCTCGGTATATTCTAGATATGCAGCACATATTTCATATTTATGAAATGCTTTCTTTCTACTATTGACTTCGTTATGGCATTCCTCGAGGCAAATTTAATTATTGCGTTTTATTTCGTAACGAACGGATGTATATAACTCGCGAGTACATAACTCATAGGAAACGCGAATATTTTTGCGATATATGTACTGATATCGAAGACGTTAATTTTGCATCGCGTGAAGAAAACTTAATTACAATTGTCAATTGGCATTTAATTTTTTTTCGATGATTAAATATAATTTATGAGAGTTGCGAAATGTGTTCATGGTTTGCATGCAATAAAACTGATATATTATACGTACATACAATATCGTGGTAAACGCGGTCGAATTACATTAATTTATTGAAAACATTAAATTTACAATTTAAAATTGATGTATTTGTATTTCATTAAATTTCGAAAATACTGCGAAGGTGTGTTTGCGCAATTGATATGCGGATTTTGAAATCATCCCTGTATTGAATTGCGAAACCGGCGAGGACACGTGCGGCAATATTTTCGCCGGATCCATGATCTCTTTTTCTCCCTCGTGTCGCTCACTTTTTACATTTCGCTATATAGAATGATAACTTTAATAGCTACCTCTCGCAAATACGCCGTGTATCATTTTGATAACGACCACTGATTAGCTTAACAAGTCGTGATGCTGTCAGGCAACAGCGTCGGATGCAATAGATAAATTGCACACTATTGAAGTGATTTGAGTTGTTACGAAAAAACATTGCATTCTCCGCTTCGTGTAGTTCCTCTCATCGCTTTTTAAAAAAAATTTATATTACATTTACCCTCTTCTCTCAAACGTTAATATTCCTATACCCGAGAGAGACTTGGTCTTTTCGAGTAATTTTATATTTTATGTTTTTAATTTAATTCAATCTTTAGTTTTACACACGTGAAATTCTGTCTACTACCTTTTCAGTAAAAATGAAAGGTGACAGTATCTTCTTTGAGAAAAACTATTTCTTTAATAAATTTAGCGTAAAATTCTTAGAGCAACGGAAAAATTCTCTAGAATACATTACTTTTCTAAAAGAAATATATGTGATGTTAAAAAATGAAAGTGTTTGAAAGTGTAAATGAATTTATAGAGCTTTCTTATCTTTTTAATTAATATTATATCTAAAATAAGTTTACTTTAATATATATTAATTTGGAATTTAATTATTGAAAAGTTGCATTTTGCTGTATGTAAATAAAATAACTGATAGCCTTTAATTAAATCGTTGCTAAAGAAGAAATGTGTAATTTTAAAGAAATCTGATAAATTAATGAAATATCTAAATATTGAATTTAAATAAATAGGAGTTGAAACTTTTTTCTCTTGTTAAATGTAAACAAGAGTTTTTGATTGAAAAGAAAAGAATATTTCTTAATTACCTATAATGACTTTGCTGCACATTCGACAAGTAGTTTATTTCATTCTACAAATAACATCTCTATAATTAAATTCTATACATTTTGTATCAAAACGTTTTTTTTTCCTTCCAATAATTCTTTCAACATTATAAATTAGAAACAACTGGAAAAAGGATAATAATGCGAGATTAATTATGTAAAAGCTTTTAACAGCTAAAAAATTAAATTGTTAATTGATGTGTAAATAAAGTATAAAGTTAAAATTAAATTAAATTATACCTAGAGGGCTGACACGAGATTAATTTTTTTATTTTTATGTGCAAATATATATATTAAAAAAAAACGATTTTTTACTATTTATTAATGTATTTTTACATACAGTTTTATCAAAAACTTTCTTTGAAAAATATCTGCTTTAAGTACGAGTATACTCAATATTTATTATTTTTACATTTAAGGCTGGGTTATTCCATCTTTCTATAAGCTTCAGCTGTCTTATTCTGTTATTTTCTTACTTTTTTGCTCTTTTGTTTATCCATTAGATAAATCACGTAGTTTATCTGAAGATGGAGCAGTCGACTTTAAAACATTTAAAGCAAAACTTATTCAATAGAGAACCATGCCCACAATATTTTTGGTTTATGAAAGATTCAGTTTAAGAACCCTATTTTCAGAAGTGCCTCGTTATTTTCTATTTGGTTATAACTGTTATAAGGTTAGCAAAAGTGCATACCTTTACAAATTTTAAAGCAGCTTCTAACTTTTCTTCATCGAATGGAGAGAAGCCTCCGGTGGCAGAAAGCTTGGCAAGTTTCCCGAAGTTCGAGCTGCCTCCGGTATTGGTTTTACGGATACAGATATCCCTATATGTGTCTGTGTGAGACTATCTGGAAGCCATAATAACAGTAAGGACGTGTATAATAAGTTCAATACAAGTGAATAAGCTTCTTAATAGTTACAAACAAATTTTGCTTCTATTTAATGCAAATCTCGAAACGCTATAGTCTCTCATCCTTAAATTCAGCTCACCTCTTCTTCCTTTGCCGCAAATGTTTAAAGTTTCACGAAAATCCCTGCATTAACCTCGAGAAACATGGAACTTCACATTCAAACGTGAGATGAAATTGCCCATTGTCGTTTGGAGGTAAACTTTTATTTCATAATTCTAATGTTACTATTCTAATATATTCTAATCAATAAATTTTTGCAAATATTCGATGTTGTTGAATAAAAACAATCTAATTTTAACTCTGCTAATTTGTTCAAATATAATATTATATTTACGATCATATCATTTGGATTAATATGATTAAAAAGCTTTATAAAATAAAAAATTTTTACAGGAAAAAGTCTTACATTAACAAACGAAATCATAAAATCACCAGAAAAAATTTTTTTTAAATATGATACTAGTAAGAAACTGAATTTGGATCAAACTAATAGAACATATCAAACTGAATAAACAAATTAGCAAGGTTAAATTTAAATGATACTGGGTTGATAATTTATTTTTTATTACTTATCTATAGATTATTTATTAGTTATCGGCGCTTAATGTCATTTGCGATAATCGTTTTTTCGCAAATTATTTTTTGTAACTTCTTGAATCCAGATATATCTCGTCGCGCTTTGAAGCTTTCGAGAATTTAAAATAAAATAAATATAAGTTACTCGTCATTTTCAAATTGCGTTCAATTGATTTCGAATAGAATAATATACGAACTGCAAATAATTATTTCGTGTATTGTTTCAAGTGACAGAAATCCATGATATATCGGTCGATTTTTTATTATAATACTTTTATTACAGTACTTCGGAATTTGCGTTCATGAAATTAATCGAACGCGATATTGAATTTCAATTACGTACGTTCGAGGATTTATTGCATCTTAATCAGTCATTAATTTAATTATTGATTGCATCATATTATAATGTGTTAAGATCAAGCCTTCGGGGTTCGTGTTCGTGAGTACGGGATTGGCTAGCCTGAGGTACTTCAGCTATCTATATCGAGAGTATATCCAGACTCTCGTCTTCTGGGGATAATTAAAGAGACACGCGATCGCGTGATGTGTTTAATTAATATACATATATATGTGTATTTATTATTATGTAATATTAATACATTATGAATAAAACAAAATGTAATATAATAAAAGAGAGAGCACCTATCTGAATGCTCTTCTCTCGCAGAATATCCGTTGCGCATTTTTTTTTCTTGTTTTTATATCAGAAAATTTGATAAGCTGGAACCACTCAGGTATAGAATAATCGATACGGGATTTACACTTGAAAATTCGATTACAGGAAAATGTGAAATTGGATTGTGTTTACGCATTCCAGATGTTAAACTGCGGATTTCATTTCGCGTTCCGATGCAACCGCGTGCATCCGCAGGTGCGGGTTTATGGACGCGGTTGCATAAACCCGCGTAGTTTCCGCATTTTAGCTGTTCGACGATTAACGCGATATTCGATCCGATTGTACCGAACGGCAGTCTTTAATTTAATATCTGTATTGCAGCTGTATAAACCCGATAGTTTACGGGTTTATGTCGAAGCACTTCAGGGAGAACTTCCTGTCGGCTGCCTGCGGCGGATGGTGGATTTTCTGCCCTAGAAGAGGTTACCGGGCATCTGTAACGAGAAACCCAAGTCTCAGCCAGACCAGAAGCACCAGCGTTAGGTATGTCGTAGCTCATTATATCAGTTCTGATATATCGTTCGGGAGAACGAAAAGAAACTGGAAGGAGTTTCGAAATGCGCCCCTATCGATCCTTCAATACGTACCTCGCTGGTATCGTACCCTTTCATATCGCTTCATAAAATAGAATTTATGGCAATTTTCTCCAAAGCGTTTTTGAGATATATATTAGCCGTAAAGTTTCCTTATAATGTCCTCAAAAAGTCGCGCTCCTAATTTCCCCAGCGAATCGCTTCTGTAATTTAGTGCGGCACAGGAATTATATTTTTGCTTGAAAACGCAAATAACGCTTAATTAAAACGGCAACATTCGAGATTTTCGAAAAATCATAATTCGCAGAGTGGCTCGAGTTCGAATTAGTTTATGCAATTTTATGTGACGCGACCGATAAAACGCTTTAATTTGAAAATATACGATTGCGATTGAAACGAACTGCAAACTAACACTTGACAAATGGCAATAAATAACTCGAGTAATAAAATCTTTCATTGAGAATAACCAAAAGCATGCTCTACGATAAAAGTTACGCATAAAGTAGTAATTTTTATGATTGTTGAAACATGAGTGAAGAATTATGAATTATACTTTTCATTTCTGTAAACATTTTCCGTTGAATGATTTCACATCAGCTTTTATAAACTCGTGTGAAAGGATTCATTTTTATAACGAAAAATGTTCATCCAAATTAAAGCAAAGTTATAAAAGAGGAAGATATATCCTCGCGCGTTGAAATTGCGGAGTTCTCTATCGAAATCGCTTTCCGATTGTTACACTGAAAAAAAAGATTGACTGCTACAGCAAATTAGGTGGTAAAATATGGCATAGTATTTTTAATTGACTGCAGCAGCCAATTTTTAGTTAGCCTATTTGCAATGTCATTATAGGATAAGCTAATGCAAACAAAAATTGACTGCTGCAATCAATTAAAAATGCTATGCCATATTTTACCGTCCAATTTGCTGCAGCAGCCAATCTTTTTTTTCAGTGTATGAATTCATTTTCCGTGCGGTTTTTTGCAGCTTGAGAATTTTCAACACATTTACAGTAAGCTAAGATTCTCTCCAGCCAAAGTCCTCCGTTTCTGCATGCATGATTCAGGTGGATCCGAAACTCCTTCGGGGAGTCAAAGTCCCGAAACTCGAGCGACCCGCATCCCGTAGACCACCCGTGACACGCTTGCGGGGTTCGCAAGTTCCCCGACAGCGAGAGACCCCCCGAAAGTGCATGTGCGACGAATGTCCGGCTAGGGTAGACGAATGGAGCACGATTCGATCTCGAGGTAAACTAAACGGTCGGCCAACGTCGCCATTTCATCTCGCACGTTCACATTCGGCATGACACATCGGTGCGCTGCTTCATTAATCCGTGCAGACTTACTTCGCATTCAGTTCCGCAGCAAATCAAAGGGTTGAATTAAGCTCCTTTTAGCTTTACTATACGTGGCGTCCTGAGAATTTGAGGAAATCCAAGATAGACTTATATATATAATCTATTCGTATATATTTTGCTCTGAAAAGAAAAGTGTAATCCCTAACTAACAAACACAAATAAAATTGTTATATAACATATAGATAAATATACATCATTTATATCTATGTTATGTAGCAGTTGTATTATTCATGGTATATATATTTATTTGCTGATACGACATAAAAAAGAGTCTTAAGAATACAAAACTCTGATTAACAACTGTTGAGTAATAGAAAGATATTCGAAGACTTAATTTCTTAAGGTCGTAAAAATTACAAAATTGCTGTCAACTTTTGAAATGAATCCATTTCTAAGATAAGTCGAATAAATATCAATAATTTCAATCTGAGATTAATACTTGAAAATAGCATCGATTCTTATATTAGTATTTTAATTGAGCTTTTAACAAATATATGCATTAAAAATTATCTATATATAATAAATAAAATTATGCTCGTTTAACCTATAGTGTCTTCAAAGTATGTATTATGTTTTACGTGTTTAATTATATCATTAAATAACTGCATGTGAGAGATTCAGAATTGGATTTAACTTTATTTTGTAATTTATATGGAGAGATCGTTTCTTTTATTACAGAGTGTAAACCTAACAAAGCCGATAATACATTTGCAAACTTACTCGTATTTACGCTTCTCAGTGCACAAAGCAATGATCAAGCATTCCATTTTGTGTCTAATTTTATTAACTTTATTTACTTTAGTACCATCTATTTTATGTATTTGTTATACATTTTATTTTATTAACGCATAGAAAAAAAAGCGTAAAACTGTCAGAGTCCGCTGATATTTCTTGTTTTGGTTATTCGATCTTGCATCGCGATGGCAATGATCGAAGAATGAATATTTGTAAATTGCGAATGACCGCAATTCACCAATTTAACGGCGACAACTGAATTGTTTGTTTTTACATAGCAAAAATAAATTCGCAAAAAAAACAATCTGAATGATGTTCTGATCTGATTATACGATAAAATCTATTGAATTCTACACGTATTCGTTATTTATTTTTGAACGTTTATCAAAAGTATCTACACAATTTTTATGAACGTATTGAGAAAAAATAATAGAATTTAAATATAATTGACTTTAAATAAATTAAATTTCAATTTTTTGTATCCGGAAAACAACCTCCCGATAGAATAATGAATATATCGAGAGATATAACAGTTCAAGAGCATCATATGCAAAACATTTTTCGAAAATAACAAAATAAAGTAAAATTCGCAATTTCTTCAAAATCATACTTTTTAAATTGTAAGGAATATTGAATAGATCTGGTTAAATTTTGGTAATAAAATTCACATTCTTAAAATTCACTATTCTTAATTACAAGTGCATATAATTAACTATAATTTTTAAGATTTTATTTACTAAAATATGTAATATTAAAAGTCAGAAACTAGATAAGATTTGCAATTTAAAAAGAGAACAGTTCGCGACTTTGCATCTTTTCTCGTTACGCCATTATTAATTGTGAAATATATTGTGAAAGTAATAAGTTTTTCTGTCATTTCATAATTCGATATTAGATTTATTTGAGAAGCGGAATGATCAAAGATACAAACGTATATTGAATGCTACAAATTGATTTTTATAATTTATAACATTTATAATAAATAAGAGCACAGAGAAATATGTGCATATCAGATTTTTCGTAATAATTATCAGTAATTATTAAACATAGCATAACATTTTATAATTTGTAAATATTAATTTGTTCATGATAATATGTATTTTCCAAGTATAAGCATACTTTCCGCGAACATACTGAATTTATAAATATATGATATAAATATACTGAATTTATAAATTTAGCTTATTTACACATTTATCTTTTTATAAATGAAGTAATTCGACAATTCAAAGAATTATATCATAAAATGTTATATTATTGCAATTAATATCGATAATATACAAAACATTAATATGATAAATATTTAATATTTGATTAGAATAACGTTGTATATATTTCGAAACGTACTTTTTAAATACTTTACAGTGATATTAAATTTCTTTTAAGATTTTTGACGCGTGATGTAAGTTTCTTATAATTCTCCGGAGAAAAATACAACGAATGAAAGAATTCTAAGATGTTACAGATTCCATTTCGCAGATCTTTTCAGACTTACCCATATCAATAAGAAAGTTCCGCAATATAGTTTCGTAATCCTGACAGGCTCGTATTTTATCGCAAATATTATCATGAATGTTTGATTGTAAAAATAATTATTCGTTGCATTATTATAAAAGTAATTACAATGATAAGTCTTGAAATTTATATAAATAAACATTGTTTAATTATTCACATTAATAAAGTAATATATGTATTTTCATATGAATGTAAAAAATACTTCTTAATTTTATA